AGGTCGAATATAACTTGTTTAATTTATGCAGCGTCGCTTTGGCAAAAATATGGGTGAGCTTCATGCACTTATGCTTTGCCTACATATATCAGAGAGATTTACATGTTTTTCGGGTTGGCAATCCAGTCCCAATCATATGGTCTCTTGGCGTCTTCGAATTTTTTTTCTTCATGATGTTCAGTATCGATTTATTGGAGGATTCCGCTTGCCCGTTGCCTGCTGGGCGGTATGGTGTGGAGAGTATTCTTGTGATATGCTACTTCTCGGAGAATTCGGCGATCTCTTTATTGATGATTTGGGGTCCGTTGTCGCAACTGATCTTTTTGGGTAGGCCGAAGCGGTACACAATATTTTATTTATATGACGATGATCGTTCCTTGTTCGCGTATCTGGGAGAATGCTCCTGCTTCTATCCCACTTAGAAAACTAGTCAGTTAAAACCAAATGAAATTGTTCGTTACCTCGATTTGATCGGTCGACGAGTGGAGGGGAGTGACCACGTTCTATTCTCCGGTTATGCTTTTAGTGGCCGTTGGCAGGTTTGCAAGGCCGTCTGCTTTCTGTGCTCGAGGGATTTGGTCGAGCTAGCATTCATCGAACTCGGGTAACAGCTTGCAGACCTCAGCCTGGTATTTTTGCAGTCTTTGTTCCTTGATTTGGAAAGTCCCTATGACTTGATTGACAACGAGCTGAGAGTCGCACCGTAGGACGACTCGTTTTGCTCCGTACTCGAGTGCTAGCTTTAGACCTGCAATAACGGCCTTGTGCTCGGCTTCGTTGTTCGTCATATCTGGGCATTTTATGGACTAGCGAATTACTTCGCCTGTTAGGACCTCGAGTTCGAGTCCCAGTCCCGATCCCGACGCGTTAGAGGCGCCATCGGTATACAAAACCCATGGGTCGTGCATTTTGGGGGAAGTACGAGCGACTTCTGGCCGAGATCGACCTGCCCTTTCAACTTCAGGCATTATTTTTGTGCTGAAGTCGGTGATGCGGTCGACGAGCGCTAGCGACTTTATTGCCGTTCGCGGCTGATAGGTTATATCATGTTCGCTCAATTCTATAGCTCATTTGGCTAGCCTGGCCGACAGCTCGGGTTTGTGCAGAATATTCCTTAGGGGAAAAGTCGTGACCACCGTGATGGGTGATACTGAAAATAAGTCCTAAGCTTTCGTGAAGCTTCGACCAAAGCCGGGGCTAGTTTCTCGACACTGGAAATAAGGCCTAAGCTTTCACGTAGTATTATGATGTAATATGATCAAGGATTTAAATGAGTTTGATTTCTTTTTGGTAGACCGCGTACATCAAGCCTATTATAGAGTATTGTTTTACTCAAGAATGAAGGTGTACACAACGAAATATATAGTAGTACGTAATAAACATCTGGAAAAAAAAAGAGTAAGAGTATTGCATTGGCTTAAGGAAACATGAAAATCATTCGTACTCAATTACCTGCCATGTTAGCTTGGTGTACACAAGGAAGTGTTGTGTGTTTTGTTTTGTTATATATCCAGAAGAAACTAAAATTTTAACTAGAAAATTCCCATAGACGGTGCTAAATTGTTTGACCAAAAAGTATGAGACCTTTTGTTAAGCTAATTAAATAAGAAAATAAAGGGTAAATCCTAGTTAAGGATAATTAATTCTAGATCTGAGATGGATAACATGAATAGAAAAATATAGTTGAGTATAAATGCTGGCAGTAATTATGACCGGATCTAATAGTATGAAAAAAGACTAGATGAATTATTCAGTATAAATTTTGAACGTTACGGGGCCGTTTATCTCATGTCGTTTTGAACATTACGGGGCCGTTTAGCTCAAGGGGTTAGATGAATTATTCAGTATAAATTTTGGGATAAAGTTAATCCTATATTCGGTTTGGGGTACACCCAAATTTTATTTATCCCATATAATTAATAGTAAAATAAGTTATCGAGGTTATAGTGTATCTCAGGATTATAATTTTGAGATATCCTGATTCATTTGGAACTAAATGACCCTCGGGATTTGCTAGTGCTAGCAAATTTGTAACACAAGTTCTTTGTTATAAGGATACTTGTCATCTTCCAACATAACAGATCAGAACAACTTAAGCACCGAGACTCTTAGATAAATGGCAATAAATCATCTAACGATTTTTTATCTTTGCCTAGATTTAAATTTTGATATCCTAGTTTTCTCTCATTTCATTGACAGTTACGCCGCTCTTTTGGGTTGTAACACTTCAAACTTTAGACAGTGTCCCACATCGACAAAACAGAAGAGGGATTCTGGGTATATAGTTAACAAGTCATAGACCCAAGTGACACGTTTTAAATCCGTGAGGGCCCAGACCCAAAACGGATAATATCACTAGCGGGCTGGCCGTTACATGGGTGCATTTACATAACAAGTTAATAGTTTGATTGCCATTAAGAGAAGTTGCTTAGAGCTATCCAATCGACGCAATCTAACCTTGGACTGGCACGAGTCTTAAAAGATAAACCTTGACAGCACATTTTCTGGAATATGAAATTAAAAGTACATTTACTTTAGCCATAACCCATAAAGGCAAAATAATCTTAATTACCTTTACGTGTGGGCCAAAGTTACCTACAAATTCATGAAAGTCAAATATAGAACAGACCATAGTACCAAAATGCTTCCAAAAAGTTTGAATAATGAACCCATTCCCCCATGTTCTAAGAAAAAAAGAAAGACCAAGTAAAGGTAGCCAATTGCATAAACTTATATTTTAACCAAGCTTGTGCTTGACTTTACCTTCACATAAAAGGTTCCCAAAACCATGCCAGAAATATATCCCGTCATCTTCAACTTAAGAGGTTCACTAAATTAAGGGACTAATCTTGATGATTCAGTTCTGATATGGTCTTTGCGGAATACTCACTCGTCTCAAATTATCTGTAGTATTTCTCTTTAACACGGCCCTTAAAAAACATTAATTAGAAGGGTTTTTTTTTACTATTTTATCCTTATTTATGTCTTAACATATTATCTCTCTTTATTGAATATTTGTTCTATTTATGTGTTATCTCCATCTTCAAAAACAATTACTACTATGGGTAAAATAAGAAGAAAATAATAATAATTTTGTCTTGAACTTTTAAAATTAACAAATAATTTGAGATAACTAACGTCGTATAATTTGAGACAGAGAGAATAATAAATAAGCAAATAAAGGATAGTTCCAAAAAGCATCTTCATTTCTAGCTAATTCATGTCAGGCTCGAGTACTCCCATAATTAGCTAAATGTGTGGTACCGTATTTGCTCTTAGTTTTGGCAAAGACATACCCCTTGTACCATAAAGATAAATATTTAGTAATTGTAACAATTTCAGCCAATATGTAAACAATATAGGCATAGTACAAAAACAGGCAATAATGACGCATGCAAAAAGGATATAGTGTTCCAACATGGTCCAGCCAAAAAATAGTTGGCCTCGTTTGCCAATATCTATTGACACCACGAGTAGTATAATTTAGACAACTCCACTAGCCTAAGAAGCTGTATACAGAGAAACATTGAAACAATAAAGTCAAGGTATACCTGGTTTTTTAAATATTCAATAACGATCATTGGTTATAATTATATGAACACAGGTAAGGACTGAAATTAGGACAATTTGGGGCAAGAGAGGGGAGAAGTGAAAAGAAGAAACACATTTTTATGCTATTTTCTAATTATCAAATTGTGTCTCGCTTTAAAATTTAGAATATGAAGGTGCCTTTTTCGATAAGGAACTTTACATAATTTTTCCTATTTAATAAATTCTTGGGACCCCAGCATCTTAGCTAGCATGTTTCCACCTACTTTGTAGTGACAAGAAGAATGTGCAAAGCATGTGCAATCAGATGATCTGTGATTGATCCTAACATGCAATCCAACACAAATTCAACCTACATTATTGCCTCAGTTGCTTTCGGCTCGAATTATATATACATATTTAAAAAAAAATTAAACTGTATGCATTTAATAAAAATATACTTATTCTGAATCTGCTAACTTTAGATCCTGAATTCACCTCTGGCGTTGACCATTCACTAATCAACAATTTTACCATCTTTATTTTTTGATTATTAATCAGAGTTGTTGGCACTGTTCATTTAAGAATAATCAGAACAGATTGGCCTCACTTTATCTGTTTAATACGAGGTGTTTGTATTTTGTCCATAACTATCTCTATATGAACAAATTTAGTTCCCGAATTCTTTGACGGCTTGCTTCCATTCGGGCTTCAATAGCAGCCGGGTTCACGGAGCATTGAAGTAGCCACGACTTTAGTCGTAGTCAGTTTAAACCCATAAACCCAGTCCACTTGCAGCCATGTTGATCAAAATGACTAAGTTTAATGACTTGACCAGTCACTAGCCCTCGTATTATAAGATTCTCTCACCCTGTGGTCGACATTCCATTCCCCTTAGTCGTAGGTGCTCGTTCTATTTTGATTTGAATGGGCCGGGGCTCCCGAGGTACATATGGGTGCTTCTATCCCCTTACCGAATTCTCTGTCATTTTCTGTAATATTTAGTGTTGTAAGATGTTGTAATAAATGTTATAGTTGAAAGAAATTTGTGCTTCTTTCACCCTGCAGCACAAACACTATGGAGAGAGGGTTTCAACAACTTTTGCTTTATTTAGTTGCGATGTCTTTCCAATAAAAGCATGTTGTACATGGACGGGAAACATATCATGTTAAAGGCAATGTATTATTGAACTAGTTTGACTCTAGGACAGTTCAACCATTTTTGCAGAATGCCAAAAGTACAACAAATAGTGGTTACTATTACTTGATTTTCTTTTTCAGATCTTGGAGCTAATTACTTCTCAAAAGTAAAGGATAAAGATCACTTGGAGCTAAAAATACAATATTCTGTTCTCTAGAACAACCAACAATTGTAGTTTGTTTGCCGAGAACAATTGTTTCGTCTTCCATAAAACTAAACACCACAATTGTACATGTTTTCCATAAACAAACCAACATGGAAAAAGCAAAACTGTTTGCAATCTGAGCACTTTGAGCATTCAGAACTTTGTTTTGGCAATCTTCGAATATTCAAAAAAATTTCTAAATTACACCATTAGTTTCACCCAGCTCCTTTGAGCAAAAATGGAGCCTTAAATATCAATGATCAGCTGATATGTTCAGATAGCAGTAGATACAAATAGAAATAAAATGTGGCACATCAGCAACATCATTGTTTTTTCCTCAATATGCAAATGCCATAATTTCATATTACAGAATACAAACCTTGATATTTTTTACCTTCACTTTTAATTCATATCTTATGTGCAAAATTGGAATAGAAGGCTCTTTGTTGTTTGACTAGTTTGTGACCACAGCTCCATGTACGAGTAGACATGGTTTTCTCTTCTACAAAATAACAGAATTCCTCAGCATAATACTTGCATCTACCAAACTCGTGCAAATAGAAGCACCACCTGCAAGTGAAACACGAGGAAATAAGTCTCAGGAGGATTCTACACAGAGAATGTTCCACAAAGACACTTTTGCACACTGAAGCATAAGGATATCCTATTCTTTGATCCATTTCAAGATTAAGGAAAACAAGGTCCTATTTTTTTTTTTTTTTAACATCTACCAGCCATGTAAGAGTACAACATAAGGTAGAGTTTTGTACTCCATCCCAATCAAAACAGCTATTGACAAGGAAACAGACTCCCATTCCGTAAATCCCATCCTATTACAAAGAAAAGTCAAATCTTAGTTTTGAACATTAGCAAAGAATCAATGGAATGGACAGCAGATTACTTTGAACAAATCAATGAATCATAATCATGAAAGCTAAAGTGATTCAAATGTGGAAAAGATAACATAGAATAAATACTACTTAGGGTTTAAACACTTCTGAGAAAGGGCATTGTGAGGGGAGGCTTTCTTCCTCTCTCTCTCTCTCTCCATTTTTTTTTTTTTTTTTGTATGTGTGTGTGTGTAAGATAGCTCTCAGCTCTGGTAAGACTGGCTCAGTAAGCCTACAGAAACAAGTGAGCATCTGCAGGCAACTTTCAGCTTCACCTTAGATCTCACCAGCAATGACACTAAGTTTCTATAGTGATCGAAACTTTTAGGTTTAGGAAAATGAAAAACTTCCAACATGCAGCTCTTCAAATTCTTGAGAGCTCGTGAAACCTTATCGCAGGCCTAGAATGTAAGAGAAGGCAAAATGGGAAAAAGAGAAAAGGGGAGCGAAGAAAAAAACAAGAAAAACGGGGAATACTAAGCTTGGCAATATGCAGAATTTGGTCTCATATCCTAAACCCTTTACTTCCTTGACAGAAGGCTTATATGTTGCAAACCTAATGAATACATGGTAATAACAAGACATAAAGCACATAAAGCAACTTGTAGCTTTAAGATATAAAATAAGTAACTGGTAGCTTCATTCTCCAAAAAGCTTTCGAGCTTTTATTACTTCATTTGACCTAAAAAAAGTCCCCAGAAGGCACCTTCTCTGAATATGTGCACCTGACTGTGCACAACAACACTCTCTGTGTTAGTAAGAAGAAACAAATAAGTGCCTCATCTTATACAAATTCTAGTAGACCAGGAAGATCAAAAGATTCAACAAGAAAACAAAACAGATATTGTAGCTCAAATAGAGTGAAGAATAGACACATGTACAGTAAGGATATTGAGATTACATGTTTTTGGACCTATTATACTTGATTGTGAAGTAGTTAGCATTTATAAACGGTTGAGATTCACTTTTTAGTAAAAGCATAATTAAAACATAAGAAATTCACAAAATCTCTTTCATTACCTCAATACCTTCCCATATTGTCATCAATTCAATGTCGGGAACAATCTAGCCAACAAACCAGCAGCAGCAAAGCACGGGACGGTAGTCAACGATACTCTTGAAAAGCTGGCCATTAGAGCACTTCTTTCTTAAAATAAACATTGAAGATGTCTATCATTAACCCTATTTGATTGAAAAAATAGTAGATGCTGCAGACGCCTCTGCAACTAAAGAAACAGGTTGACGAGCCTGCAAACAAGCACCTATCTCGAATGGGCGCAGCTCAGATCCATCAAATAGAAGGTTTACACCAGGATAAATCTCTTCTTTATTCTCAGCATCATCTTTTTCAACCTTAGTAGTAGTTACTGAGGGAGATTCCTCAACTGGCCTGGTGGCAGCCTCGTAAACAGGCGTCAGAGCGTATGATCTGCAAGTTTATTTGAAAAGCATGATAACAGAACTTAGAAAGAAGAAACTATATGAGCATTTTCAGCAATGCATTTCTGCTTCAGAGACAAGGTTACATAAGCTTTCTAAAATGATCTCGCTACAGCACATTATCCTATGGATTGGTTTTACTACTAAACTACTGTTCTTCTTGTTAAAGAACCTTTGCTATCCATCCTCTTTTATTCAGGTGCAGTGAGTTATCCAGATCCTATAGAGGGCTATGTTGCAGAGTGCAGATTGCCATGAAGCATCAACACGGGAAAGCATCCAAAGTGAGGGATGTTGGACTTACTCAATATTCTAAAGAACTTAGGAGTCATATAAATGTTAAGCAACACAAGCCAAGTCTCAAGGTTAAAACAATTTTTTTTACATGCAACAGGTATCTACTCCCTCCTTTCCAAAAAGATTGGCACTATTTCCTTGTTAGTCCGTTTCAAGAAGATTGACACCTTTCAATATTTCCTTAATAGGAAGCATTTAGAGCCACACAAATGTTATGACAAATTTAAGACCTCAAGTTTCAAAAGTTTTACGGCCGCACAAATGCTATAGCTTATTTAAGACCACATATCTCAAAAGTCTTCCCTTCTTTATTAAAGTTTGTGCCAAGTCAAACTAGGACAATCGTTTTGAGACAGAGGGAGTAATTATCTTCACCAACTGCTCAGCATCCTTGAAAGTTAAATGCCGAAAAAGCAGGTTAGAAAGTTTAAATTCCTCTGTCGCCGTCAAACTGCAAAAAAACTACTCCCTCCGTTCCAATTTACGTGAACCTGTTTGACTGGGCACGGAGTTTAAGAAAAAATGAAGACATTTTGAATTTGTGGTCCTTAACAAGTCAAAAGGGGTCCAGAGTATTTGTGTGGTTATAAAAGCTTCTCATTAAGGGTAGAATTGGATGTTTAAGCTAAATTGTTTCCAAATTTAGAAAGGGGTCATTCTTTTTGGAAAGGACCAAAAAGGAAATAGGTTCACATAAACTGGAACGGAGGGAGTATATCGTATACCATTATCTCACATAGTCAAAGAAAAGTGTCGACGACTTCTCGAGACCTACAATAAAAAAGAAAAAAGACTCGGATATGCCATGACATCCAAGATTAGGGCACTATGTACCTATCATGTCTCACAGAAAATGCATATACAGTAACAGTTTCATATTTAGTTTGTTTTGAGTGACAACCACCGGTAAAATTTTTGTAACAGTGGATGTCAGTAATTTACTCAACTGGTAGGTCAATGTTCCATGTTTCAAGTCCAACATCAGAAGCCTTCTACCATATGTTACTTCGATATGAGTTATGTGCCAAGTTTCTTGTCCCTCTCTAAGCATGTTGAACACAAAATGTTAGCATCTTATATATATATATATATATATATATATATATATATATCAGGAAAACATGCTTTCCGCAACACCCTGGCTCTGCAAGCTTCCCAAGACAATATGTTCTATACCAAGCAACTTTACATCTCCAGATCCCACTAATGGTGGTCATATTACTCGATAATGATCATTAATGACTGTTTCTCCAGGTACATACTCTTCCAGGGCATCCTTTTCCTAAAAGGTCTCTGTCCTGATGAGATGAAATCCTTGGAAAGTATTTGTAGAACAAAAAGAGACAACCAGAAAGTTGACATCTTACGTCTCAGATGGACAAATCAGCATGGTTATCAGTTTCACAAGAGAGTTATTCCAGATTTTATGCTAATTATAAACTTTCCACCCGGAAACTAATGAATCCAGATTACTGAAACATGGAAAGGGACCAGTAATCTAGAACAACATTAAATAAGTCCTTCTTCACATCCTGGGGGTTTTGTTCAAGGTGTAAGAGGGCTCTGATTAGCAACAACCATTTCTTCTGCTCCTACTTCTTGTGTCATTCATTGCAGCAAGCAAGAAAACAAAAGATTATCAGATAATTCCCTTTTTGAGTAAGATTATTCAGATAATTCTTTTACTATTTTGACAGTCAAAAGGTTATTCAGAGAGATCTTTTATCATTTCCTTCAGAATATTAAGTTTGTTAAATGTTTTGTTTAATAAATTAATCTGCTGAAATATTTCACCAAATAAGAGACTCTTGTTACTTGTAAGCAATTTTATATAACTACTTCCGCCTTTACAGTTGCATTTTAGCTTTTGTAAAGAAGGTTAGAAGAATTTTTTTTTATGTCATTCAGAAGAAAGCTTTCGTGGTGTTCTCTTCCAAACTTGTGCAACAACTACCTTTCCACGAACCCCAGTACGACATGCAAGGCAAAAGTGAAATACAAGCTTTTCAAAATACTAGCCCTACAATCCCTTATTTAGAATCAAGACAGATGCATAAACTGGAAACATGCCCTTTGAGGACAGCACTTAAATTGTCCACAATACATATCCAGATATTAAACAGTAAAATCTTTAAGTGCAATATGTCAGAGATTCTAAAGATAACAATATAGTAAGAAAAGTATAATCAATCTATGAAATGTGAGAGAGATTGATCAAAACGCACCTCAGAATATTGCCATCAAAACTCAGAACTTCTGTTCTAGATCTCTGCCGATGAGCAAGTTTTAGTCTGTGGTGTTCGCTAGAGACACCAGAAATGGGAGAAGAAGGATCAACAATGGGGTTCCACCTTCCACTTGCATAGGTCATAAGATGCCGGGATGATTCCTTTGGCTGCTCTTTCTGGTAAAGGAGCTTTGCTGTTGGACCTGTGGCCTGATACTCAGTACAAACATCTCGCAATCTCTTTCTTAACTCTTGCATTGCATCATGGTGCTCTCCAAATAAATCTGTTTGGAGTAGTTGTGAAGAAACTAATCTCTTGCATATATTATTACACAATTTTGGACTAAACAGTGGAATACCAAATTCTACACTTAGTGGAACCCATTCATACTTCTCGTCATCAGGTGTGATATTATCTTGGACTCTATATTTGTAAAGTCTTAACAGGCGAATATAACCAATGGTCCAAAAATTAAGTTTGTTAGACAGAGAATCTAATAGCAAATTCAGATTGAAAGTTTCTTTGGAGGACAGTCCTAGTTCCTCCCCTACTTGAGCTGTTGAACCATCAGAATTCTTCAAGGGCAAGGGAATATCCAAAGTAACAACTCTTCCAGCCTCATCGAGATCATATCTGCTGAGGGGAAGCACAAGGACAGCAGACTGCTTGAGTAGTGAGTTTATACAATGTAAAAGTATACTTCCTTTTACCAAGTTCCCTTCAGACTTCCCCCCTAAACCTCCAATGGAAGATCCATCCCATGACCATAGAAGTGCTTTCTCACAGCCAGCTAATGGTGCAGGAAGCATTCTTAATAAGTGACCTTTCATCAGAACAACTGACAGAGGTCCACTAGCAGTAGCAGAATATAGCACCAATTTCATCCAGGGTGTCATAGATGAATGGGAGGGAGGTCCAAAATGAACAGGGCCTTTTGGTCCTGGCAAAACTGAAGAAGGAGGAAGGGGAACCATGGATACAACGATGTCATAGTCGCGCAGAAATAGACGATCTAAAGTAGCCGGTGAGAGAGCAGCCAAGCTTTCACAGCGGAGTATATCCACGCGGTATTTTCTTTGTTTCTTCAACTCTTTATCAGCATCTAAGATGTCAGCGGATACTGATTTCTCATCAGTCTCAGAACTGACCTCTGGTTTGATCTCCCAGTCCGATTGATTTGTTTCTTTAGATTTTGTTCCTGATAGAGGTTCTTCATCATTAGGCACTTGGGGTGTTTCAGAATGTGGCATATCTTCATTATCTAGCTCAGATTTGTCTGTTGGTGTATCTCCTGATTTTTCAGAAAGTGAAATATCCTTTGTCATTGAAGTAGCATCCTCACTTCTTGAAGACGTAATGCCAGTCTTTTCTATTTCTTCAGCTGGAACCCCACCTGATGTTAGACATTCCAGGATGCACCGAAGACTAAATGCATGATTGGCAAACTCTTGCAGTTCACCTTCAAATTTTGTCCCCTCGAGTGTGCCCAAATCTTTACAAAGATCTGCAATACTAGCATGACCTAGTTTTCCCGCTTCATACAATGTCACCGCGTGTGATTTTAGACCTGCAAAACGGTTACTTCAGAGTTCAAAACAGATTGCAGAGCAAAAAACTGAAGTTCTGATACTGCAAACACAGAAATTCGATGCACACCCACAATGACATCAGGATAACCAATGAACTTAAGATCCATCCATGAAATTTGTACAGTATCAAAAAGTGAAACACAAAATAAAGTTTTGGTGTACAGTTAGCATATGGAAACAGTTACACAACTTCAAAAATGCGCAATAGGGAAAAAATCAAGCAATAAGGTCCTTTACAACCTAATCAGGGAATAAGATTTTTGAGCTGCATAAGAAAGGTGCTCTAAGCTAGACAAGATGGATGTGCGGTCATACAAGACTAGACAGGATTAGCAATGACCACATTTGCTAGAAGGTTCAAGTAACATCCATCGAGGATAAAATGAGAAGGTCAGTTGAGATGGTATGGTCATGTCTAGCGTGGACCGCCTGATGCACCACTCGTGAAACCATAATGAGTGAAGGCATTAAAAGGGAACGAGGTGGACCTAAAATCACTTGGAATGAAGCTATATTGATGGACCTACAATTTCTTCGGAGTCATGCAGGCTTAGTGAAAGATAAGGCACAATGGAAGAAAAAGATCTACATAGGAGATGATATATATTAGTTGAAAATATGTTTAAGTCGTGTTAGACTTTTACTCTACGTCCTATACTTTTCTAGGAGTTGTTTCGCCTTTCAGAGATTTATGCATGGGTAGGAAATATAAAGAACTTCTCTCTCTCTCTCTCTCTCTCTCTCTCTCTATATATATATATATATATATATAGAGAGAGAGAGAGAGAGAGAGAGAGAGAGAGAGAGAAGTTCTTTATATTTCCTACCCATGTATAATGTGTGTGTATGTCTGTATATATTATATTTTTCTTTCTATTCTATATAATACTGACCTAAGATGAGTTTAAATGGAGCAACATGGTTAGTGAGGATTCCTACCGCCAACCCCAACTTGCTTGGGACTGAAGCGTAGTAGTTGTTGTTGCTATATAAGAAAGGTGCTTTAACACAGACAGACAATCTTGAGCTGCGGCACAAGATGCTATTCTCTAATTACATCACTATAACTTTTTGCTTTAACACAGACAGACAATCTTGAGCTGCGGCACAAGATGCTAATCTCTAATTACATCACTATAAATTTTTTGCTTTAACACAGACAGACAATCTTGAGCTGCGGCACAAGATGCTAATCTCTAATTACATCACTGTAACTTTTTGGGAAGATCTGTCATGTTTCCCAGGAACAGACCAAGCTTTTCTCCTCGTACTTGCAGGAAAACTGGCTTTCACACATAACTATTCTGTTCACTGGCAGTAACTCAGTAGAAGTTCATTCAAAAGGTAGGAGACTTCAAGAAAGATGAGTAGTTGCAGCTGACATAACACCATCCATAAAATCCACAACAGAAACTTCAGTAGGTTTATGTATCAGAAAACCCCAGTTCGTTTTGCAAGCACCAGTTGAAAAGTGCTTTTAATAATGCATTTGGTAATAATGAATGTAATTGAATTACCATTCCAGGACCTATTTTGTTTATAGTGTTTGTCACAATCGTGAGAATAAGGAACACAGAAATACATTTGAGAGAAGAGAAAACCTGGTGATACAGATCCCATCATAAGATAAGATGTTATATTAGCATCAACAAGAAAAGCAACCCGAGCATAACCAGAAGTCCTAATATTATTCTCTGTCCATGGAATGTCTACTTGCTGAAAAGCACTGCCATCAGAGGACACATTTGCAGAGCCCAAGATGGCATGAGAACCATCTTCCTCGTCACTAAGAAGGCTCTTAGGTGACCCTGGAACATTAGGATCTTGCAGAATAGATGCTGGGTCTATTAGTTTGACAGCCCATCCCAATCGGCAAGCAAAAGATGCAGCCGCTTGAAGTTGAGAAAGATCAGCCTGTAATGTTGCAGCCAATTCAGCAACAGTTGAATTCTCACTTGAGACCACAAAAACAGCATACAGCACCCTGGATAATGAAGGTGACATGTTATATATGGACCCCCCGTGTATACCATATGGAAATATGATATGAGATTCCTGTGTTAATGGAAAGTGCCTTACTCCTCAATTGGATCTTCATAGGACTGCTCCCGGTTAGAAACAAATCCTTCAAGCCTTGAAACTGCAATATTTTGTGTACGAACAACCTAAAGTCTCAGATGAAAGGATTCAACAGAGCATAAAAGTGCAAGAATGGGCAGAATTTATTTAAAATATACTAAAGAACAGTTAAACCACAGATATAAAAGAGTTTCATCTCTTCATTCAATTAATATTCCTGACTGAATCTCTAACAAAAGCTCAATGTCTAATTCAGCTAGACATGATGTCTTATCATATATGAAGAGCATAAAAAATCTAACAGTAAAAATTTGAGTTACGGCCAATAGGTCATGGCAAACATCCATATGAGCATGATGAATTAAGCAACAACTGCATTTTTTGGAATGAATACGCTCCGTTTGGAACTGTTTCCCTTCTTAGCATAAGTAGGCTCTATTTGGAACGTCAAAATATCATCTTATGTTTGTTTCCGTTTAATTGTCAAAGAGACTTGATAGTCTAAGTAAATATTTTCTCCAGAGTTGAGACTCGCAGCTCCAATAACCTGGAGTGCAAAAGAAATTCAGAAGTTCCTTGCATTAGACGCAAGTTATTATTTGGTTACATTTAGAAGGTTTAAGTAGACCTAACCGTAGATAGGAAATTTTAAGGTTAAATGAATATGATATATACATGCCATCACATTGTGGAGAAAGCAATCCGAACTCAAATGTAAATAGTCTACACAAGAAATTTGCTCGCGCCTGGATTCAATGATAGACCAACTAGATCCAAGCAACAGGTAAGTCAAAGCATACCAACTTCTTATTCTGCACTCTGCAGGTGGTTGGATTCGGAAAGAGGTCACATGAAAGTAAAATTGAGGTGCAATACCCATCACCTCCCAGGTAATTTACTAGATGGAGGTCAAAAAATAAAATGATGAAAGGTTAACCAAAAGAAGCAATTTGGTAGATTTATTCCAAAATATTACAAAAAGAAACATAAATGGTGTCTAACCTTTAAAACGATCATCAGGGTAGACCGGCACATCAAAATAGACTAGTCCTCGTCGATGAAGCCCCTTTATGATTTCAGGATCAAAAAGAATGAAAGCATTTGCTTCTTCCTTGCAGATTTTATCTATTGTTGCCGTTTCTTCTTCAGTCAATTTCTATGAAAAGGAGAATAACAACAAAAACAAATATTTCAATCGCCACGTCGGAAAGCCAGATATTTCTTTTCTTAGGATGGTGGTGTCAACTTGCCTTGAATTCCTCTAGGGTAAAATTGACAAGACAAACTCCCCACCATGGCTCAATAACAAAGTCCACCGGCTGTGTAGGCAATAGTTCTTTCGCTATTGATTTGTTTAGCTTCCACATAATTTTCTGTCAAGATCCAAAATAACTGAAATTACAATAGACAACATGACGAAAAGCCTAGGTTAGCCACAGAGCTCAGGACGGTGAGATTAATAGATCTTCCCTGAACCCTGACCAATTTGGGCAAAGGGACAAAGGTATTCAGCCAGCATCCTTCATTAATCTTTCCACACGAAACGGTGTATTATATTCTCTCGATGTTTTCCTCTTTTGCATTGCCCCCAAAAAAAGGAGACATTCACAAGCAGGAGGATATAGAAAACTTCTGGAAGGACTGGAATGCTGTCTGGAGAACTAAACCATTATGTTTTTTAGGGCAGTTTGCTTGTAATGAAAGAAATCGAAGATTGTTTCATGATATTGAAATGGATATAGCTAACTCCAAACGATTTTTGATTCATGTATTTTTTTCAATGTAAAGAGAAGATTCCCTTGTATAGATGACTGGAACAGTTTGTTAGCTAAGTGTAGTTAAGCCTGTTTTCAGCTCTGTACAGAATTTCAATACCATCATGTTGTGATGTCGATAAGATTCTGATTTATCACAAAGAGATCATGAAAGTGGGCATACTTGTGTATGGGGATTAACAGAATTGAAACTCAAGAATGATTACTGCTGGTGACCTCTAATGTTGGAGGGTCCGCCTTAGATGATCACCTTATTCAGTTAAAGGGTAACATTGGAGGGATGCACTAGTCTAATCACTTATATTGCAATTTCCGCTCCAAGTCATTTAAGCCATTTAAACCAAGACAAGGGGAGGAACTTACAACGTAATCCAGAAGCAGTGAAAAAATATGGGAAAGAATTTTCTTTTCCAACAGTAGGCCATGTACTAAAAAAGTCCGCGTCAAGGATAATAGAATTGCTAGTGAAATTGTAAGTGTAGTAGTTAACCTTGGTGCGGCAAGTAGTGGAGAAAACTAACAGCAAACGGAAATAGAGAAATAAAGATGGATTTTATTTTCCAAAAGAGATAACTTAAGCAGCAATGAGAACATTAATAATCTGCAAAATGGCAGCTTCTTTGTTAAAATAAAAGAATACATAAATAAATGGCTTAAACTTGCAAAGACCCTAATGTCGTGACAAAGTAAGACATCACAAAATACCCCTATTTTAAGTTGAAAATGCTGCTAACCTAAACCCTAACTGTAAACACAATAAAACAGCTTTAAACCTATATAAATCCTGCAAAAGCCTACCTAAAAGAACAAATTCCAGCAGGAATCTAATTTTCTATTTCTACTACTTGAAACTTATAAGTTTAACAAATCCTGCTTTCATGGAGCATCATGACCTTTACTTGCTATCTGTCACAATAAATACGAACACGAGACAATACCTTAGATCTGCACTTGTTCATGATGTCAATAAATTCATTTCTTCCAATTCCAGTAAGCCGTAAGGCATCTGCAGCACTAAAATTTGGGATGCTGTCATAGGGTTGCTCTGCATTCATGAGAAACAGAGAGTCAGAAACCCCATAAGACTGGTAGCAATTGCAAAGAACCTGAAATTTCTGTGAACAATCTAGTGATAGCTGAAGAAGTAAGGACACGTTAACATTTGCAATCTATAGAAATTATTGGTATCAATTGCAAAGAACCTGAAATTTCTTTGGACAATCTAAATGACCAGAGCAAGAAGTAAGGACACGTTAACATTTGCAATCCATAGAAATTATGACATTGAGAATCAACAGTCAAATGCAGAAAACTGTGAGGAAATCTTAGTATAAACAGTTGACAGCAAACACCGAATAATTCTTCTACAGCACATGCTAGATTGTTTTAATAAAAAGACCATATAGGGCAATCACTGCAGAAAAGATAGCACATCCGACACTACTATAGCATGCAAACAAATTAAAGATGAGTAAATACTCCATCCATGTCAATTTATGTCACATTCTATCTGTTTTGAAATGTCCAAAACAATATTATCTTACAACTTTCAAAAGTTTCAAGTGTCCATATATTTAACTATTCAGTCATTTGAACTGATGTATTTCTCCATCTAACTGACTACTGAACCACTGCTTTATTAGTGTTATGTTATCCACTACTACTAATATAATACACAAGTCAAACTAATATCTTAAACTACATTCCTAATCAAATGTTGTCAAACTGAGAAAGAGGACCACCTTTTAGCAGTGACAAAGACTGGGCAAAAGACTGTATACAAGAGGTACACATGAATGGACTTTAGAGAGAGAGAGAGAGAGAGAGAGAGAGAGAGAGAGAGAGAGAGAGAGAGAGAGAGAGAGAGAGGAATGCTGCTGAAATATTTGGTTCAGGATCCGCTCTTGTGTCAAAAGCACAATATAACTATTAAGCCGTCCAAAGAGTTCTCTTCCAGAAATAATAGCCTCGAATTAGTAACTAAAAGTGCAAGCATTTAAGCTGCATATAAACTTGCAGAAATGCCCAGTGGAAAGGTATCATTTTTTTTGTTGACAAGCGCAATCATCTTTAAGCAAAGAGAATTTAGGACATAATCTAAGTACGCTATACAGCATGTCAGCATCAGAATCTACTTAAAATTTGGAGCAAAGAAAATACACCCTCAATAGTCAATTCTGAACTAACATGATAGGAGGCTATACCATTTTTCATGACTTCAAAAATCATGTCGCAGTAGTATCTGAAAGGAGACACCCTCATGACACGGCAAACATACTCCGCAAGGTGATATGGAAAGAGCTGCAAGCAGAATATAATGACATTTAAGTTATTGTGCATTAGTCCCAACTCATTAGGTGCATATCCAAGATATAACTTTATTGGTCTTGAAGGTAATAAGAAATCAGCATTTGACTAATTTCTCATTATCTTCACCGGGACATCTTTTACTCTCACTTCTTTTCTCTTCTACTAATAATTTCTCTAATTGATTAATTGGGATGCCATCTTTATTATCAGGAGATTAAATAAATAAAATCTAATTGGGCAGAAAAAGTACCAAGTCTTTTTATAGAAATGTATGCTTCATAAACATTAAGGCATTAAAATTAAAATAGAGAACACATCGTTAAAAAAAAAACAAGATCAAAAGATGACCAAGTCTTTCGGTACATATGTACTTCTGTGCCAAAGGCAATGCCCTTACCTATGCCCAAATATTTAAATACGCATAATGCTTTTTAGTCCCCCCGCCCCACAAAAAAAGAAAAAAAAAAAGCAAAGAGACTATATAAAAGAGTTGCCATAAATCCTTTTCTTACTAATGTGAAAAAGAAGGAACTGCACTGATCAGGAGAAAGCTTTGTTTCTTTTTCAGTAAATGATGCTAAATTTTTTCTTTCGTCTAAGCCTTTCGATTAGCATGTCTCACAATAAAAACAAGCTTACTTTTATGGCTTCAATTGACTTTCTAATGACTTGCAACCAGTACATTGTAAAATTGAATAGATAATCCACGATAAACAAATTACATCTTTAATATTCATTAAAAACTTTGGAGCTATGCACACTCTTGTGTCAGGAAAAACATATGATGATCTAAGTTATGAATATATCACGTGAATACTGATTTCAAAAGGTAAAACATGTCATGTAAGAAATAAACGGATTGAAATGGTGGAAACTGGAAAGTGCATAGCTTCTTTAGTTGGAACTCTGTCCCCGTATTGATCAGAATGGGAAACCAAAACATGTCTTTTTCGTGAATAGAACAAGAAATTTTTGAAAGAAAAAAGTTTATATTAGTTAAAAACATCATTTTTTTTCCTTCTTTCATGTCACTACTTTTCTAAGCAGAACTGTTTTTCGAGTAAAATCTATAACAACTTTGTAGTACAAAGGATGAGAAAAAATTTCCACCCAATACACACCGCCAAGTTCCTTCGGAGATAGCGCAACATTTCTTCATAGTATTCACCTTCTTTACACACTTTACGAGCAAAGCAAGTGTTCCACAGGAGTCTCTTCTTTATGCAATGTTCAATTATCCTGCATAAACCCCAATCAGTAGAAAATATAAGCACAAGTAAACTACTAATTGCAAGAATAGCAGGTGATAGTCCATAAGCAAAAGAAAGATTTAAAATGAAATATTTACAAGTATCATATCATTGATCATCGTACACAACAAAAATACTAAATCTAACTCAAAACTTCACGAAACTAATATTAGTGAATCTTTTTTGTTTTTGATAAGGTAATAAATTTTATTGATAAATACTGGGCACAAAACCTGCATACAAGAGGTACACCAAAAAGTGGAGACCTGCATAATAATATGATTCTCTACGAATAGCACCCAATCTTCTATACAAAGAGGAACTGCATGGGTGCACCAAAAAGAAATAAGGGATATAAAAGATTATTTTCTATTAGAGTGTTGTATCTTGTCTTGCTACAATGCTAAATCCAATTAATCAACCGATCAACTACTCCTCAATCCCAAACTAGTTGGACTGGCGGTATGAATCCTCTAAATATCCCGCTCTATTAGGAGCCATTTAGGGGTTCTTGGGTTCTCTATATGTGAATTCACTTCTACGAGTTTCGCATAGCCGCTCCAAGTAAGGATAAAGGAAGAGGGTTGCAGTGGAGTCAACTTATAGCGAGTCCATGAGTCAAACCACAATAAATAAAAGTGGATCAATGATCACAAATGCACATTCTTGGGATCAAACTGTATCCTTAAAGTTCTAAAAAGAGTGTTCATGAAATGTTATAGCTGGTGGACCTCCTAAAATTGACGTCAGACAACAGAACATTCATGACAAACAGTTATAGACCTAGAAAAGGTTGCACTATCTCACCACTCACTACTGTTAACCATTCCACTTTTAAATGAACCTAGACTGTCCTAGTAAACACAGTATTCCCAACTCATTACACATCATTACAGGTTTGCTCAAGATTGATAGCCTTGTATACACCTGTTCGCTTCATACTTAATTGCAGAAGGTCAAACAAAAAGTTACAACCGAAGTTAATATATCCTACACAAGTTCAAATAGATTTGTGACATTGAACTTCAAGCATGCCAAAAATTTAACAGCACTGCGTTGTCCTAAACTCCACTACCGGACATGTATGCTTTCATTGAAATTGGTGAATAGTGTGACCACCTTTATTTACTCAATTATATCTTCAACCAATGCCATCATGTGCTAGCAAGCCTTGTTCTTTTTCATGGGTCAAGCACGCGATTTTTTTCTAACGAAGGATAGCGGTGAGATTTGAAACCGTAATCTAATACTACGTTGAAGTGTAACCACCTCAACTAAAAGTTTAAACAGTTTGATACGACACTTTTATTTTCTTAATTATGTCTTCAACGGAACATTTATAACCTTTCATCCTCTGTTTTGATATGAGACAAAAGAAAATCTTGAGTGAATCGAAGTGTCATACCTCACGAAGTAGCATAACCATGCTAAGTTGAATCGATGGAATTATTAATAATAGCTTCCAACCACAAAATTGGACGAAAGCAGTAGGCACCACCATAAACATGATTTGGAAAGAACTAAAAAAAGGAAAACAAACCTTCTGTGCCAATCTTCTTTGGAATTTACCGTGGCCTGAAGCCGCTTCGGAAGATTCTCCCAGGGACATTCTTCTTTGATTGCTTTAAGTATTAACTGTTCCTCAATTGTAGCCGGTATACGCTGCATTTTAATTTTCCTCACTCACTCTTCAACTGCCTAGACCCTGTAATTGATCTTAAACCTCATTGTTAAACAACATCTCCAATTCATCAACACCATAACTACAATAAATCACAGTAATTGATCACACATTTCCGACTATTGAATCTTCAATTTTACTGTGAATTAAAAGCAATGAGCTTAAGAACTCACATGAATTCGGATCAAGCGAAGCTAGGAGTCAGTTGATGAGCTGGACTGTAACCGGGTCGGATCCTGCTGGAATGATTCGGAGCTCTTTCAGAAGAGGAAAATTTGAAGATCTAAAAATGGTTGCTGTGAGGAGTAATTGCAGACAGGGAAACTTCAGAGCACGAAAGTGGGGCCCCTTTAACTCTTTCTTAATTAAATAAATATTGCTCCGGTTAGTCGCCGTTGGATTTTACCTGTAATTAGACGGCCGGTCATTTTGTGATGGGAAAATATAAATAAAAGAGAAAACCTTTAACATGCATCATGCATGTTTAAAAAAAGAAAAGAGCCTGTCTAAATCGAATAATTGCCTGACAAAATCAAGGGTAAAAAATAAAGCGAATAACTGTAGTTTTAATGTATCGTATTATATTTTTTTTTATACATATAGTATACAAATAAATTGTATCATTTGCTTTGATTTAATACATATTTAAACGGTATATTTTTAACAAATACTCATAAAATAATTAAAGATGACCTTTTCGTAATTTATCACCAATTGTCTCTTGTAAGTATACCATGTTCTTAAATTTGTGCAACTCCAATGAAAGTAGTTGAAAATATAATGATAATAAGATTACACTTTAAAATAAAATTCAAGTAATAGCTAAATATTCATGAGGGAAAATATAATTTTACATTGAAGACATTTAGTAGTTAAAAACAAAATATCAATATGTACTGAAAACTAACATTTTCACCTAAAGTCATTACATGTCTTTCAATTATGGGATTGCAACTTTCAGCCTACGCAAATTAAGTAGATGATCAATTTTATCTTTAGTTTTATGATTTTATGATATTTTTTTAAGTGCAATTGGTATTTATCATGAAAACTTCCATATAACTAATTTAAAATAATAATTAGTTGTGTTATACTATCATGAAATATATTATAACTTTTTATGCCATCATAAATAATTATCTTTTTCTTTGTTTTGAAATAGTAAAATTATCATTTTGTCACAACCCAAAATACGACCCGTCGTGATGGCGCCTATCGATGATACTAGGCCAGCCGACATTACCTAAACGCTTTCAACAATACCAGAAATAAATCAAGACTTTTAAAATAACTGAAATCTTTGCCATAAAACAGGGTGAACCCCAAAACATAAGTGCGGAAATAAAGCTCGACATCGAGGTATCGCTTGTCATGAGCATCTAACATAACCAATCCGAAAGTAACAAGACTAACATAGTTTGGAATCCAAAATACAAAAAATAAGGAAAGATAGGGAAGAAGAAAGCAGGGCTGCGAACGCCGGCAGCTACCTCGCGATCTCCAATAACCAGCTACGAGTACTATCAACAACCTCCGCGTCCAACAACTCTCGGATCTGCACACGAGGCGCAGAGAGTAACGTGAGTACACCAACTTAGTAAGTAACAATAATAAATAAGGAACCGAAGATAGTGACGAGCTACACAGTTTTAGTTCATTTTCAATAATTTCATAAAGGAAAATAGCCATGCTTCCCAAGTTCCGGTAATTCAAGTCAAATCAGTTTATTCTAGTCAAGTTCAAGTAAAACCATATAACAATATCTTTCAACAGTTTTCAAAACATGAATATAAGGCAATTTTGTGCATCAATAATGTAATCATATACTGCCTCTCAAGCAATCATCTCTCAGTCCTCCCGATCACTCCAACCTCACAATCACTCATTCGTCCCAGTCACTCATTCCTCACAATCACTCCTTACTTGGCACTCGGCACTCGCACTTAGTGGGTACCTGCGCTCACTGGGGGTGTGCAGACTCTGGAAGGGCTCCTTCAGCCCAAGCGCTATAACAAGCCAATCATGGCATAATCAATAAAACATGTTGCGGCGTGCAGCCCGATCCCATAAATATCCTCACAATCAGGCCTTCGGCCTCACTGAGTCATCAATCACACCAGTCTCTCGGGCACTCAGATATCAGGAAAATTAGCCCAAACAGCAGTAACATGATGCATCGAACTGAATAATAGAGTCTGAGATATGATATGCGAGAAAAAACTATGACTGAGTACAAATAGCATTTAACAGGCAATTCAGCAAGTAATCCGGCCCCTACAGGACCCAACATTGCCAGCATATAGCCTAAACATGGTTTCTAACATGATTTACAGTCAATCTTTCATAACACATAGGGAACATATAGCTAACAACATGTTGTTCAACTTTACAGTTCTACGGGACGGAACAAGTCACAATTCCCTTGGTGCACGCCCACGCGCCCGTCACCTAGCATGTGCGTCACCTCTAAAATAGTCACAAGACACAATGTACGGGGTTTCATACCCTCAGGACCAGATTTACAATTGTTACTTACCTCAATCCGAGCAAAATCCTACTCCGCGATGCCTTTGCCTCTCGAATCGGCCTCCAAACGTTCCTAATCTAGCCACAAGTAATACAACACAATCAATATATGCCAAAGGAACCAATTCCACAAGAAAAACTACTAAATTGGACTCAAATCCCGAAATTGGCTCAAACCCAGCCCCCGGGCCTACGTCTCGAAATTCGACAAAATTCACAAAACTAGAAAGCCAATTCACTCACGAGTCTAACCGTACCAACTTTACTCAAATACGACAACAAAATCACATCCAAAATCTCAAAAATCTAACTCAAGAGCTCTTCCATTTCCCCCCAAATTTTCCACCCCAAATCACCATTTAGATGATAAAAATCAAGATGTAATCATGGAATTTAACCAAAATCAAGTGAAGAACACTTACCCCAATCAACTCCTTGAATATCCCTTCAAATATTGCCCAAATCCGTGGTCTCTAGCTCAAAATATGAAAAATGGGCTCAAACCCCGATTTTGAATATAACACTGCCTGCCCAGATTTTCTTCTTCTTGAATGCGACAGCACTCTCGCATTCGCGTAGACCACTTGGACTGTGATCACGCCCAACTATGCCTTATAAAAAGGACAATGTGGTCGCTGCAAATATAAACCGGTTTACAAGTCCGGAGTCGATATCCCACAGAGAGTTAACCTATCAGTTGCAACCTTCAGACCCACCAAGTCTTCAGAATCAGCTTCCCAAATATTTAAATTCTCAATTGAGTGTTCTTTACTAACTAACTTTCAAGTAACTACAATGCTATAACTAATAAAAAGAATTGTAAACAATTATGAGAAAAAGCTAAGGCAATGATTTCCCCTATTGATGGAATCCCTTCTGTTTATGCTCATACAAATTCACCCACACACCTCTATCAATCATGAACCCTAATCTTACCGCAAATCTCTCCCGAGTAATCACAGTAATCTACTATTGCACTCTTCCGAGATACACTAGCTTGCTTTATTTAGCACAATTCACTTTAGATTGCACCCAAGGCTTCGTTATTCCTAATCCCGCCTTTAAACCCGCAATTATAGATTCCTCTAATAATCTAGGAGTGGTGTTGTTCAACAAAACCCTAAATATGCACTCTTTTCCAAGTTATGCACACTAAATAGGCACAGCTAATTGAGGATCCTGTCAATTAACTACAACGAACACGAAGTTGAACAAATAAAGATTAAACTAGCAATTTGTATTCACATAAACAAGAAGTTCATCACCCAATAGGTTCCATCAAAGCCTTAGACAAGAAATTTAGCTACTCATAGTTATGGGAGAATAAACTAAACTTGAATTCATCATAAAATCAAAAGAAAAAAAAGAAAGATGTTTAGAGTACTTTTTCACAACTGTTCTCCTTGCTAAGAAACCTAAAAAATCAATAACTGCCTCTCTTGGGCGAAGTCTAGTGTTTAAAATAGGGTTTAGGTCTAAAAATCCCGTGTTTTACACTTTGGTCCCCGAAGTTTCTGTGTCCACCGCGGGGTTCTACCGCGATCGCGGTAGAACCGCGGTAAAATACCCTCGCGGATCTTCAATTGTTCAGAGACTACCTTCCACCGCGGTTTCACCGCGGTCGCGGTGGAACCGCGGTAGACCCTGTATCCGGGCAATTTGGCCTGTTTTGAATGGGTCACTTGGGAAATGCAACAATTAGCTTTTTTTTTCATCAATAGTTGACTCCAAACTGCTCCTTAGCTTTCCTTACACCTATATCACCTGCAAATCATGAAAAGTACCAATAAGAGCATTTTGTTGTCATTTTTCCACATTAAAGTTCACAAGAAAGTGGTTATTCGGTGCGTGATTATAGTCAAATTCACCTATTATCAGACTGCCTCTTCAATTTACTCTTCGCGAACGCGACCACCCTTCTCTTCCCAGCTGCCTCTTCTCTTCTTCGCGAATGTGATACTCCTCTCGCGTTCGCGATGCACTCTACTCCAGAACCTTCACGAAACGCGTCCCTTCCTTCGCGAACGCGTAGAACAATCCCCCCTCGATCTCCAGATGCTCTTCGCGAATGCGAGACTTGCCTCGCGAACGAGTAAGAGAAAACCGGCAACAACAAAATACCAGCAGATCAGCTAACATCCTAAGGCCAAAAATGATCTGTTAACCACCTGAAACTCACCCGAGGCCCTCGGGACCTCAACCAAACATACCAACACATTCCATAACATCATACAAACTTAGTCGAACCTTCGAATCACTCAAAACAACATCAAAACACCAAATTGCACTCGGATTCAAGCCTAAGAACTTCTAAACTTCCGAATTCCACAAACGATGCCGAGACCCGCTAAACCACGTCCGAATGACCTCAAATTTTGCACACAAGTCAAAAATGACACCATGAACCTATTCCAACTTCCAGAATTCTATTCCAACCCTGATATCAAAATTTTCACTACCGACCAAAATTGCCAAAATTTTAACTTTCGTCAATTCAAGCCTAATTCTACCACGGGCCTCCAAATCACATTCCGAACGCACTCCCAAGTCCATAACCACCTAACAGAGCTAATAGAGCCATCAAAATTCAAATCCGAGATCGTTTACACATAAGTCAACATCCAATCAACTTTTCCAACTTAAACTTCCTCCTAAGAGACTAAGTGTCTCAATTACTCCAACACCACTCCGGACCCGAACCAACTGACCCGGTAAGACATAATACAGCTGAAGAACACAAATGAAGCAGAAAAATGGGGAACGAGGTTGTAACTCTTGAAACGACCGGTCGGGTCGGTACATTAGGCGAAATAAGATTATTAATTAATAATAAGTAAAGGTATAGTGAGAAAAGAAATAAGGCAACGCCATGATCACACCAAATCAGTCATTATATATACTAAACCTCTTCATTTTACATGACAATAAATTTAATAATACAATACAATATAGTTTAAGTAACAATTAACTAATAAATCTAAAAAATAATACAATACAATAGGGTTAGTTATGCCGTAAAAGCTCTAGTACTAATATAAACATGTATAGCTAAAACAACATTTGATTTATGATACAAAACTATGCATTGCCAATACTGCCACAATTTATTCGAAAATTTAAAGATCTCAATGTGAATTATTAATTATCTTTGATGAATAGGATCATCTAAATTTACAGATCATCATTCTAACAATTCATGATTATTATTCATAATTTACAAATAACAAATCTCTTATCATACACGGCATAATAAGTTTGTTTTTCATTATTTTCTTTTGTTAGTTGTTTGACCTCTTAAATTAGTAAAACTCTTTAGGGCAATCAATTTTATTCAAATAGGAAACACTCAGAAACTTCCATTCCCGTTAACTGTATTTAAACTTTAGAGCTTATGCTATATAGAGCAAAATTTGACTTTGGTCGGCGCCTTGTACCGTACCTCATACTACTCTATTTAGGGCACCCTCACACTGACAAACTCTGATTCTCCTTCCCGCCGCCGCCGCCGCTATATCCCCTGTTACCGGTCTAAATATTCACCCTCCATGCATTATTATTTGTATAACTAATACTAATTGCATGTATTAGACGTTAGCCATAAACTTATAATAGAATCTTCCATTATGTAGCAGAATTTGTACGCTTTTATATGATGGTGGTTTATTTGTTAGTCCTGAGCTACAATGCGGTTTTGCTTTAATAAAATTTTAGGTTTTGGAATTAAAGTTTGTGTTTTAGAGTTGAAGTTTTACTTTATTGAGCCTAAACGAAGTTTGTTTTGTGGTTTCAGTTATGAGCTATTGACCCTGGTGGAATACAGAGGCATTAATGGCACTTCGTTTCGAGGTGAATTTCTTTGAGTATTTTTATGCAAATAGAAGCTGCTAACAGCAGTTAGCATTTGCTAACTGTATTGTGCACTTATGAAATTGGATTCTTGAATATTCATAAATCGAGATACCTCTTAAAATAACAAACTATAGAGTATTGAAATGAAATGGGTAGGAGAGGATGGATAATGAGGATATATATAGCTTATCTCAACTTAGTTTGGGATTGAGGCGTAGGTGTTGTCATAGTAAGCTGATGTTGCTTGGTAATAGCAAGTAGCACAATAACATTATTACCGCTTCTATTGTAGTATAATAGTTTTTAATATGAGAATCTGGATCCATGGTACTCATCAAAACAACGAATCCCATCATTATGGATTGTTGAAAATTTCAAGTTGCAAATTTTTGACACAATAATAAGCTCAGTTAATGAAGGAGGACAAGGAATCTAGTTCGAGCGAAACAGCTTTGTCCGAGTATTTTAACCATTTCCTATGAATTTAGGAAAAGATTTATGGCAATGTTACAGATAAGATCAGCTGTAATTTTTAATTGCAGTTAATATGGCAAAGCGGTGTAACTAGTCTCCCTAACTTTTCTATCTTTTACAAAAATATAGTGAAGTTTTTCTCTTTTACAAAAAATTTAGTTGTTTCCTACTCCACTAAGGAATTGTGCGTAATCTTTCTGATGCCAGATACTTGGGAGATTCAATCGTGCTCGTGCAGCTCGGCTTATACTCCCTCACTATGAATGCCAGACACCTCTTTTCATGCCTGTTGGCACTCAAGGTAAGGGTATGTTAGGAGTTGATTGACAGGAAGATGCCTCTCTCTCTTTTGTTCAATACTAATCTTTTAATTGTTTTATCGAGTCTTTAGCCAATTTCCTTAAATATTTGATAAACCTTCAAATTAGAGCCAGCAGTCTGTTGATAGCTTTTGTTATAAGTACGTTGAAAGTGTAGAATTTGGTATTAGTCTGATTTGGTTGAAAACAACAGTGAAATTGTTTCATATATGGTCTGGTAGTTGTGTCAAGTCAAAATTATATCACTTGATTGGGTATTGGGAGCTGCATACTTGGGATTGCTGCATGTGGACATAAAGAAGTTAGTTAGATTTTGATTTCCTCTATGTTACGCTGCGGACAAGATTGATCGGTACTTTTGGTTGGAACAAGACAAGATTATATGATAATAATGGAATAGAAGATAAGGACAGAAATTTACATGGTTCTCCCAATACGCCTACGTCCCGATACTTGATATAATGAAATTGCTCTTCCTTGCCCGTGGATATAGGCATATTGGTCGAACCCCATTTATTTCTGTGTCTCTATCTTTTGTTGCCGTTATTATCAAATTTGTTTCCAATAAAAAGTATCAGTTGAATCTGTCCACGGCTTAAAACTCTATATATTGTACTCTGTAATATATAGGCTTACAGACATCATGTTTGACACTTTTTGTAGAGTACCTTCTATTTGTCATCATACTTGTAGAAATAGAAACTATTATTGGTCTTCATGTCATTGATGATATGCATTTTTTCTCATTGTCATCCGTTTGTATTTTTCATAATCACAGGCACTATAAAGGGTTTGACCACCTGCCAGCTTGAGGATATTGGTTGCCAAATAATCCTCGGAAACACATATCATTTGGCACTACGCCCTACCTCTGAGCTCATCGATGAGTTAGGGGGTGGGGGTCTACATAAGTTCATGAATTGGCCAAGGGCACTGCTTACTGACTCTGGGGGCTTTCAAATGGTAGTCTATCGCAGTTCTGCTTCCTCAATGTTCACTTAAGATTATCTTTTTTGAAACACTATAACCATCCGTATTCAAGATGTACTGAGCAAATGTTGATCAAAAAGCTATACGCCTTTGTGCCCTATTGTGTCGCCTTTATGCTTATGTATTTCACGCACGTTATCTAAAATTTGCAAAGCCAGTTGTTCGGTGGCTTATGAACAAACATGAAATGCTTTGTTCTATATGATGTGCTGTTTGACAAATGAGCTTAAAACCTTTCTGGTTGTAGGTCTCCTTGTTGCATTTGGCTGATATCACTGAGAAGGGTGTCACATTTCAGGTATTCTTTTTCTATTCTCTCTATTAATTTTCAGATGCTTACCTCTTATGTTTCATGTGGTTTAATTCGTCACTTCCTTTTTGCAGTCACCGGTGGATGGAAAGCCAATGCTCCTTACACCTGAAGAGTCAATACAGATCCAAGTAGGTACATTTAGGGGATGTAGATGTTCTGTTATTTATGGATCTTGTACTATACTATTTTTTATCTCAATGTCATACTCTAAGCAAGCAGGATGCTATAATAATTCCAGAAAGGATGACGCTAATATTTCAAAACTGGTGCAATCTTCACACACATGTAGATTAGTCATTACAAATTTGTGTCAAAATGTATGTGCTTTTATTCTATATCATCTAATCCCAATATTGCTGCTGATTAGTCATTAATTGCATCATATCTTTTCAATGGCCTGAGATTTCTCAGTCTCAAAAACTTTGTCAGTTTATGTTTCTTGAGAAGCCCTTTATAACTGATTCAGTTTCACTTGCTGACTTGCCCAACCCATTGCAGAACAGAATTGGTGCAGATATTATTATGGCTCTTGATGATGTCGTGAAAACTACCATCACAGGTCCGCGAATTGAAGAGGCTATGTATCGAACTCTGCGTTGGATAGATAGGTGCATAGCAGGTAATATGATTGAGCAGCCTGTACATTTCGATGTGGTTATTTATCTTACTGAACTTATGATTAATCACATTCAGTGGGCAAAATATAATCTCTATAGGATTTGGTTTCGGCCAGCTGTAATGTAGGGAATTTCTCTGCTTCTTGTTTTGATGTTTTGGACTATGTTTCTAGGATCCTCCAAAAATGCATTCCCACATATGTTGGATCCTCCAAAAATGCATTTCTTTTGGAGGATCTGACACACAACCGGCAGCAGTTTTGGAGGATCCGAGAAACGTAGGTTTTGCACCAAATTTCTTGCATTGGACACGTGTAACTGCTAAATTTGACTGAAATGAGCAACCTTATCCCTACTAATGGAGTTATCCGAGTTACACAGAAGATTTTTAAGCTCTTCTGTCAATGCCCTTTGTTCCATTCATGCTAGTTAAACCTCTCAAATAGGTTGCAAATGGACCGGATCCCGTAAAATTCTAGCAACCTTTGTTTGTGAACCTTCACCACCTTCTTACAAATCATACCACCGCCATTGGTTCGTAGGATGTCTGCAAACAGTAAGATTGCAAGGCCTAGGAGGAGAGTGGCATCTTTCAAAAGTTTTGGCCGGAAAAGTGGGAGGTTTTTGGAGGATGGGAAGCCCAGGAAAGAACAGAACATGAAGACAATGGAGCTCTTAGCTTTTGGTTAATTTGGCAGACTTCGATGATGAAAGGACTAAACTGGCTCGCATTTGATGGTAGATGCTATAAGTTAGGTGGTAGAGTTAGATGAAGTTATTATTGAATGTAAAATTGTCCTTCTAAAATATTGAGCCCCATTTGGCATGTTATGCTATCAACTAACAGTACTTAACAGGCTTAAGTCCAGCAAACAATTTATTGATAGATAGTTTGAGTAATGTTTATGTTATGGACTAGCAGTACTTAACAAGGGTTTATGCTATGAACTAGCAGTACTTATCAACAGTTAGGTCCAGTAAACACTATATTGACAGTAGTTTGAGTAAGGTTCTCGGTGGAAGTTTGATTTTTTGAAGTTTTTCTTTGTAGAAGTAGATGCCAACAACAGAAAAGACTGTATTAAGAGTTAAATTGTTTTTAAAGTTCGTCTCAGAATTTTTCTTTCTATTTGTTAAATATAGAGTTTCCAAACTAAACTTGCTGATGTACTTCTGCCAGACTCTCAGTTTGTGTTTTTCATGCATTCATTTGTTATTGGCAGCTCACAAGAGACCAGACGAGCAGAATCTATTTGGCATAGTCCAAGGTGGTTTAGATCCTGTATTAAGGTGAATCACATTGTAACATCCATGTTGCTTTATTGTTTACATAATTACATATCATTTGACGACTTTCTTGTTTTCTTTGTTGCTATCAGGGATATATGTGTCAGAGGTTTAGTGAAACGTAATTTGCCTGGGTATGTTCGTAGTTCTGAATATGTACGCTTTATCCTAAACGTTCATCACCTTGTATGTAGAAACCTCAAAGCGTATGTATATACATTCTTGTTCTAGTTTTGAAAGAATTTCCGACTGAAGAGATATGGCTTCATGTCTATCACATGGAGGGACGGGTGGGTGGGGATGTGCATAATAGCTTGTAATTTCCTATCTCAGTTCCAGTCAGGTAGTCAAACTACATATATTGAAGTGGTTAACTGTTTAGTACATGCAACTTATAAGGGTAATTTGGTGCCGGGATAAGGATTCGGATTAGGTGGGATAAATTTATTCTTTTATGCTGCCTAATTCCCAGTTTCGTACTCCTAGTAATAGGATGAGTTATCTGGAAAATTCTAACCATCTTATGCGTGGGCCAGGGGCAGTAGTTGGGTAGTTATCACGGATAACAAACCCTCTGTGTAAGAGCTAAAGATTAAAAGCCTTGATAATATAAGAAAATTCTATTTTTGGGGTTTGTTGTTTGGAATTTCGGTTTAGATCTGTAAGACTGTCCAGGGGGATTTTGGGACTGAAAATTAATTTGGTTGTTTTCAAGATCCATCATATCAAACAGAAACAAAGAGATTCAATTCTCAATCTAGTTCCCTCATACGATCCAATTGGAATCGAATTCCTCTAACCAAATTACCCTTGGTAGCTCAGTGAAGATTTAATTGACATGTTGGTTTGAGGTTCTAATTTTGCACCTGTAACTTTAATCTTTTTCTTCATTTTTTCGATGATGGTGGTGCTAGGTCCAGAGGCGGATGTAGTGTACTACCTACGGGTTCAACTGAACCCATAACTTTCGTCGCCGAGTAAAAATTTCTATGTAAAAATTCATTAAAATTGCAAAAATAGTAGATATGAACCCATAACTTTAAATATATAATGGGTTCAATGTTAAAAACCTTAAAATTGAACCCATAGAATTTAAATCCTGGATTCGCCTCTGGCTAGGTCCACCTTGACTATTCCACCAAATACTCGCATCCGTCTACTAGCATAGGTACCGAAAACTCTATCTACCAAGGCCTTAGCAAATAGGAAAGAATCATCTGGTTTTTTGGCCTCCATTGGGATTTGAACCCTGGTCTGTCATACTCTTCGTTCTAACTTCATTGACCGCTAGACCATACCCTTGGGTGCAATCTTTCTCATCATTTGCGAAAACTATTTTCTTCTGGAAAGGATCCTAAGAGACAGTGTTCCTGCCACCTCTTCTCAACTAAAGTTTTAGGTGCCTTGTCCCTTCTTTATTTGATCCAAAAGGTACCACTAGGAATTACCAAATGCCTTGCGATTCTGATACTGCATCCAATAGTGTTCTACTTTCCTCCAGCTCGTGAGTAGTTACCAAACAGCTCGATGAGTCAAAGAGTTCCCCAATAAGGACCAGCTCAATTTCTGATTCAATGTCGCAAATGGTCCTGCATTTCTTAGCATAGCCATATTGTATATTATTGTTCTCTTCTCCAGATTCCTCTTTTGGAGAATACTGATTTTCAAACAGCCTTACGGCCCTTACCAACAGTGGATCAAGTTGTGTGGCACCAATCTCGATTCAGCTGCATAACTGTTGCGCAGATCCCAGTCACTTTGCATTGTATATGGATGGGAGGGACTGTGGAGATGAATTTGCTATTCCGAGGCTGTTTTTGCATAGTGCTTATCGATATTTGTTCATATTGAATGGAAGCTTTCTTGGATGTTTTACTATTTATTTTTGTATATAAATCACATGACATTATACATTGGCCATTTGACGCCCTAGCTGCATCTTTGGTGAAGTTCTAAAAGAGAAAGAATATAAGTTTCTTACTAGAGCTCAGAACCTACCCTTTTTTGTCTCTTCCTTTTGTATTCTAGTTTGCTGGGTATGATGTGCTTTTAGAATAACAAATAAACTGATTTATGCTATGAAGTTCCTCAATAGAATAATAGCTGTTATATGCACTGATCATTTCAAATCCTTTCTCTGATAAAATTTCAACTTTTTCTAGTTGCTGATATTAAAAAAGAAAGAGGACCTCTTTTAACTTATTAAACTCAAAAGAAGCTTACCAGACAAACCGAACTAGGAGAATTGAGGTTCAATAATCAACTGAGTGAAATGACCGGGTTTACTTGTGTGACAGCTATGCTATTGGTGGTCTTGCAGGCGGTGAAGATAAAGACTCGTTTTGGCGTGTCGTGGCTCAGTGTACTGCTGCACTACCTGAGCATAAACCACGATATGTCATGGTATATGTCACTCTTATGATGTTCTTTGGTAGATTTAATATGATGCATCTATTTTCAATTTCTCTGTTTTTAGATGTGATGCCTTCTGGCTTCTGAATTTCGACTGCTGTACTCCAGGGGGTGGGTTACCCACTAGACATTGTGGTATGCAGTGCTTTAGGTGCTGACATGTATGATTGTGTCTATCCTACTCGTACCGCTCGCTTTGGCACAGCTCTTGTACCTGAGGTAGTTTTCTCTGCCCACTACCTCTAAATAGTCATCACTTAATTGGTTGTGGAGATCACACAGTAAGCATTCTTTTGAAATCAATAGAATACTATTTCTCATACTGCATGATAAGGAATCTATAACTGCTAATATTCTAACCCAACATCAATGTTTTGAGTATTCTTGATCAATAAACCTGTGGATCTAAAAAGTAGTCATATAGTTTATATTGTGCTGTGCTGCTAAAAAATACTATTCTGTTTGTGTACATACAATTAGTCTTTCCTTTTAGTAGTAAAACCATTTTGAGTTGTTTTTGTGCACGCTGCTCTTTTCATGCTACTTTGATTTCCCTCCTTCCATGTGATAAAGTATTCTTGACTATGCCTTATGTGTCTGTGTTCGTGGAGACTGGTAGTTCAATGATTTGAAAACTTTAGGATGTTTTAAGAAAATCGGTTTTTCCTCTAATTTATCATCTGACTTTATATTTCTCTTGTCGATTTAATTTTTGTTTTTATTTTCGTGAAATATGTTCCACAAATTTTCCTCGCCATGTGTCATAAACTTGGGCCCTGAAAACCAAACTAAACAATTTATGAAGAAAATATCATCCACCATTGATTTTGAAGTGGAATAATGCTTTTGCTTTGGCATGATGCAGGGAGTTCTAAAACTTAAACACAAGGCAATGGCAGATGATATGCGTCCTATTGATCCCACATGTGACTGTATGGTAAATTGAAATAGACGACGCTTGATTAGTAATGTTCTTATTTTCCATTTATACATTGTTTCAAATACCAGTCGTCTCTCGACAGGTCTGTAAAAAGTATACCAGGGCTTACATTCATTGCCTTGTAACTAAAGATGCCATGGGATCTCAACTTCTGTCATATCACAACTTATACTATATGATGAAGGTAACAAACACTGAGGTTTTAAAAGATATTTTCATTTGTCTATTAGCTCAGCCATGACCTTGAGGTATTCAATCTATGCAGCTTAGCAGAAACTTGCATTCCTCAATTGTTGAAGGACGTTTTCCGGAGTATGTTCACCTCTTGCTCTGAATAGATTTTCCCCTCACTATTATGTATCACTATCTGATGCTCATTTTCTGCCATCATGTCTAATGCTTCTATTTACCTGATCATTTTATTTGTTTAATTTTGCAGATTTGTTTGCCAGTTTCTGCAGAAAATGGTAATGAATAATCCCACTACATACAAAATGATTTCAATGACCATGCATTTCTCCTGGTATATCAAAAAAGCAATTGATGGGCACAAACTTCTCTTAGATTTTTTTTTTCCCGGTTTAAGGAAATAGTTCTCTTTTTATCACAAGTCTTCTTTCTAAACTTACTGAATGATTTTCTGTCACATATTCGTAAGGCACTTGGCTAAGTTTGATCTGATAGGATGTGAAGTTGTTTCTGTGTGTTGAAACTTCCTCAATTTGGGAAAGCAATTTCAATTGACACAAACTTGAGAACGTGCTCTAACTTTATCTCAAATCAAAAGAACAAATATTCTTTTGCAACGTATTATTATCATTACTGTTTTGTTACTGGTGTTGCTTGCATCTTATATTTGCTAATACAACTATTTATTTCTGCGGATTGTGATGACTTCTTAAATTTGACCTGTAGTTCCCCGAAGGTGACGTTCCTGAATGGGTCTGCAACGCCATGGAGGTTGCTGGCATTGACATTTCTTCATGTTGTGCTCCGTTTTCATCGCTCCCCAGTAAAGTAGAAGATACAGAGGTTGCTGGAATTGACATTTCTTCATGTTGTGCCCCACTTTCATCACTCCCCAGTGAAGTAGAAGATACAGAGGCTGCTGGGACTGACTCTTCTTCATGTTATTCTCCATTTTTGTCGCTCCCCAGTGAAGTAGAAGATACAGAGGTTACGGAGATTGACACATCTTCATGTTGTGCTCCATCTTCATCACTCCCGGTAAAGTAGAAGATACACAAACCCAGACGTGAAACAGTAATTAAAAACATTTCACAGAGTAGAAGAACATATATATACAGAATTGACGATAAGAGCAGCGTGCATTTTGTGGTAACATGCTGCTATGCTAGGAGTCACTCAAGCAAAATTTTGTAAAGTGTGACACAAAAGATGAGTTTTTTGTTAACTAGGTGTCATTCTTCATAGCTGAAAGAAATTATTCCTTATTATATGAAATGTTTTTCACGTCCTAGAATTTTTTTTATTGAGCTGTCTATCAAGGGAAATCCAAAAACATTTTCTTTAATGCCCCTTCCTGGCTATCATAATTGTTCCTATTTGAAGTATGAAAATCTGTTACATGGAATGTTGTGATTGATAGTATCTGAAAATGAGTTTGAAGCCATTCAGTAAGAGAAATTCATTCTCGGGGTTTTCAATATCAGTGATATGATTAGTTAGACTGTACATATTCTTCCATTATTACATAAAGTCCCTTGGGCTTTTTCCTGTCTTTGTTTTTTGGTCTCAACAGAGTTGCAAAACTGCTATGATATACTTGTCTTGAGCCGATAGTCTATTGAAAAGTCTTTTTATCTTCACAAGGTAGGAAGATTTGCGTACTCACTATTCTTTGGAGATCCTATTGTAGTATTATCTTAGGTATATTGTTGTTGGTCTTAACAAGTCCAAAGGAAATAGGAAACTTATTTTCTGACTAAGACGATAATGAAAAGCTCAAGTGATTGGGCAAAGTCCAAGGAAAATATTCTCTCCTGACTTTTCGACCTAATGCTTTGTACCGCACTCAGCTAAACAAAAGAACGAAAGCAAAAAGGTCATAAGCTGTGATTTGCTGTAAAGAAAAAAAAAGTGGACTAAAGAAGTTTTCTTAATATGGTCTCCTACCACAAAAACATTTTCCAAAAAATGAGCTTCTCCGAGTTAACTTTAGATATGAGGCCAAGTAATTACTTTAGTGTACTCAAAGATAACAAAGGAAAAAATAAAAAAAAGAAGTACAATTGATTTACATGTCTTTACCTTTTCTGAATATCGCAATCTATGTCACTAAGAAGTTTGCTTTACAGTCGTAACTGGAGTTTAGAAAAGTATTGGTATAAAGGTCTAGAACGAAAGGTGATCTAAATAAGGTCTTATGAGGCCACCACCCAATTTTCTGTACGTGTCTTTTGATTTCTTCTCCTCTATCTTTCCCACTTACTCTGATTGCTACCAAGACGCTCAATAATTTAATGAGTGAAATAAATTTTCTCTCGTTTGGTGAAAATGTTTCCTGCATAAAAAATATTTTCTGATAATCAAATACCAAAAAATAACTTACTTTCCGAAATCATGTGTCTATCTGTAACACTCCAGACTTTAGACAATTCCACATAGACAAAACACAAAAGGGATGCCGGGTATATAAGTTAAATAAGCCTTAGACCCTAGTGACCAGGGGCGGATGCACGCTTACCGAAGCGGTGTCACGCGACACCGTTTCATCGGAAAATTTTACTAAATATATATATTAATACCTCCTCGGAAAATTTTACTAAATATATGTATTAATACCGTACGGAAACAGATAAGTAGAAAAAAATGACACCACTTAACATAAATTATATTGTGGTATGTTGGTTATGTGTTTGATTTTGCTCTAAAAGGTCAAAGTTTCAAACCTCAACTAGCACATTTTTCTTTTGCAAATATTTGAGAGAGAATTTGTGGTTAAAAATTGTAATGAGGTAGAATTGAACTTAGGACCTTTTCTAACTTAAGACTCAACAAAATCAATATACTAAGGCTATTTCTTGTCTAAAAGTATGATAATCAAAGTTATATTCCGGTTCTTCTATATATCTCGACAACGCTTACAAAAATTCATGCGTACGCCCTTGCTAGTGACGCATTTTAAACTCGTGAACGCCTAGTCCCAGAGCGGACAATATCACTAACGGGCTGAGCTGTTACACTAATAAGTATTTTCGTTGCACTAAAGTGAAAATCAAGAATGGTATTTGTGGCAGCACATCTCTCAGGAATAATGGCCGGTGGTTGTATATTAAACATGTTCAATTTTTCATATGGTGTTGAAAACGCCAGTTTCTAGTGCTAAAAGCAACATGAACGACAAAACATCACTTTCTTTAATTTCTACATCATTATTATTTTATTCAACTATTTCTGGATATTACGTGCAAGTATGTCTTATTCCTTTAATGCTATATTTGACTAATAATGTGATCAACTGCAACCATTTGTTGCTTCTAAAGATTAATTTGATGACTATATGTTTACCAGGAGTCTAGCTAGAAGTAGTATTAAATACGGTTTAAATTGCAAGTTGAACATTATTATTATGTTTTCAAGATTTAATTTATTAAGAGCATAGTTCGAACACTTTCTTAATTCATAGTGGATTTATTTTGTCAATCAGTTTGTTAACATGGCTTATTAAATAGATTACCGAAAACATGAATTTGCAAATAAATTTCGGTTAATGATATTTTACCAAACATGACGTTAAGTATTTAACAACAAAAGTCCCAAGACGATTAAGTTAATTGTGAAGTGAAAATTAGAAATTGAGGTAATGACCAAACCTAACTAAATATCGAAAAACAATGAGAATTTGTGTGGATTTGACTCGAAAATACTCACTATAATTCGACCAGTCATTGATTTTTAGTTAAAAGTGAAAATTGTTAGATTTTAACCAAGTCATCTCACATCTGTTACTCATAATTTATATAAAGGTAGAATGTCATCTTTTACAAGAGCAAAAAATAATCTGTTTCATAGTGCCATACGAATAGCTTACTATTTCTTTTAGTCGTGAATGATAATACTTGTTTGAACAAATAAAAATGACAGAGTAGTCACTAAATATCCAATTTAAAGAGATATTTACAAAACGAGGATATATGCATTAGTCACTAATTATCGTACTTTGAGTAAATTTGAATTTTAGTAATACATATATTGTTACAGTATTAGACAATACACTTCTCAATTTTTTCAAAGACCTACCAAATGAAACATGATAAAGGACTTTGTATTGGTCTAAATTTGGGCGGCTTGATAACTACAAATCAAACATGGTCGAGGATAGAGCCGACCACGGCACAGTGGCGAGGAGTTGTCTTAAGAAGAATTATTGCTGAAGTCAAGCAAAAGGGGGAAAGAAGCAACGGTAGGATAGTTTAGCAATAGATATAAGGAATATTCCATTGGATATTCTCTGTGTTGTATTTTTTAGGGTTTCTTGGGGATAACCCTTATAAATAGGAAGAGATAAAGAACAAATAGGTATCTTCACTTTTTGATAAGAGCACTTGTAAAGGGTTGACAAAAAGAATATACAGAAAGACTTGTCTTGTTCACTGATTATATAGCTCTACACACGTCGTTCACTCTTTGTTTACAAGATCCAAAGATTTCTTATCCATCTTCATTTATCATTATCCCACTTTGCAGTCAGGAAGAAGAATCACCCAAACCATCTAACATTTGGGTGATAATTCCTCTTTATTACATTTATTGCCATTATCTACATTTATTGCATGTTCTTATCATAACATTCATTGATAATCATTGAACACGTGCCTGATCTTTATTACTCTTAAACATGATCTCATCCTGCGAATCTGTCTATGTTTCTTATCTAGAATTTATTATATCTAACTAGGATTCACCCTCTATTTCCTCATTAATTTGTTTAACAAAAAGCTTAACACTTTTTGATCAAATAATTTGGCGCCGTCTGTGGGGAGGTTCTAGTTAAATTTTAGTTCTCTCTAGATAAAAAAAAAACAACAACATCATCCACATTTTCCTCGTTTGCACGAACTAACAATGGCAGGAAAAAGAGATGAAAGACTGAAAGCAGTAGTAGATGTCACTGCCAACCTCTTGAACACTATCAACGAGGTTGACAGAGAAGGCGAGGAGAACGCGACGCAGAGTGTTACACCCAGGCGGAACGACTCATCTCCCCCTCATGGAAATGTAACCGCTTCACGTGAAAGGGGAGCCTCCACATCCACAACTGAGAAAGCGCCGCCAGCAATCAAAAAACTACTGGAGACATGGCTGACAAGCACTCTAAGCGACATACACGACAAACCCCTTCAACGGGAGAATAGAAACGTCATACAAGCGGATATCACAGCAACCGCCGACGAGCAACCCACTCCCCCAACAGGTAACACTCACACTGCCGTTGATGCAGGTAACGACGCACTTGCCGCCATCCTAAAGAAAACAAGAAATGGAGAACGAGAATAAAGCGCTCCGCGACCAAATGAGGGAGCATCAAGAAAGGGTTGATAAGATACCGGGCGCCCCAAAATTGCTACCAAAACGGAATGTCAGCCGGTTCATCGAACAACCATATAGCGAGGAGGCGGCCCCACATGCCATACCCAAAACCTTCAAGATGCTGCCGTATCTGAAGATATATGACGGCACGACAGATCCCGAAGATCACATCATTCATTACGTTACAACAGTAAAGGGCAATGACCTCTCAAAAGAGAAAGTACCATCAGTGTTGCTAAAGAAGTTCGGCGAGACCTTAACGGGGGGAGCCTTAACCTGGTACTCACAATTACCAGCACGCTCTATAACAAAGTTCGAAGAAATGGCCGACAAGTTCGTCACCGCCCACGTCGGGGCTAAGAAGGCGGAAGCCAGGGTGAATGATATATTCGCCATTAGGCAATCGCCTGGCGAGGGACTGAAGGACTTCCTAGCTCAGTTTAACAGAGTAAGAATGAGCTTACCAAATGTATCGGAAGGGATGGTGGTGGCAGCTTTCCAAAACGGGTTGAACAGGAACGGGTCGAGGGCGACAAGAAAATTATTAAGCAGGCTCATGAAATACCCTCCTACCACTTGGGAGGAAATTCACAATGCCTACTGCGCTGAGGTGAGAGCAGGCGAGGATGACCTTAACGGTCCAATCCAACGGTTAACGTCGGTCCAAACAGAGCTGAGGAAAGACTGTCGTAATGACGATCGAAGAGACCAGTCAGGTCCACGCCTCAACCGAGACAGGCATCAACCCTATGTTAGAACAGCCATCCCACCATCTCCTCGCCATGCGGAAGGACCGCCCAGGTCGCATACAGGGACTCAGCGAAACGAAAGTGGTATGCCTCCTCTCTTGTCTGCTCACAATTTTTGTGTTTCCCTTTCAGAAATAGTGTACGCATTAGAAGCTCGGTCCGAAGGTGAAGTGGCCACAAAAGATGAAGTCCGACCCAAGTACCCGAAAGTCGAACGTCCTCTTTGAATTTCATCAGGAGCGGGGTCACAAAATCGAGGACTGCATAGCCCTACGGCAAGAAATAGTGAACATGCTCCACCAAGGGCACCTAAGGGAGCTGATGAGCGACC